CGCAGACCTACCACCGGGTCTTTGACTGTGTCCACGAGACGGATGATGTTGGTCCCCCCTCGCAGGTTTTCCAGGATCTTTATCTCTCGCTTGATCTTCTTCTTCTTGACAGGCTGAATCGATGGACGAAAAGCAAAAAAAAAAAAAAAAAAAACCCAACATAAACAAAAAAGATATTAACAGTTTAACGGCAAAGTCTCAGACGGGGAGACGAAGAAGCAAAATTACATTAATATGGGAGGGCAGGAATGTTTGCCAACATGCAGCTTCAGGAATCTGCTGATGCTGCTCTCCTCAGCGCTGCTGCTCTCTGCTCTCCTCAGCATCTTTCTCCTTCGGCTCCACGCTCACATTGAACTGACTGACGGCTAATCCTCGCCTCTCAGCTGAGACACCTCCGCTTATTTTTGGGTTATCTTGTAATCTTTGCGGCTGAGCGGGAGCTGGTGCAGCACAGAAGCTTATTGCCATGCTTATTTTAAAAAAGTAACCCTTTAAGGACCCCATATAATAACAATTTTATTACTAAATATTACAAGGAGCTGAGAAAAATGTCCCATTTCCTCACTCATTGTTACTCTTTCATTATGATGCTTCTAAAATGTTCTAAGGCCTTCATTGACTTGGACACAGAGACTCCATCCAGCAAGCAGAATATATTATTTGCATGAAAACTGTACATTCCTGACACTTGGATTATAATTACCAACAAAAAACTGCACTCCACAGAAGTCTTTGCAACACCAAGATGGAGAGACATCAGCAACAACCACAAAGAAGAAATGAATGCTGATCATCTATCTGGAAAACGGGACAGAGCAATTTCCCATCTGTTTTTTTTTTTTTTTCATTTATCGCACGATAGTGAGAAAAAGTATTTCCAAGAGGAAAACATTGTTTCAAAAGCTGCCAGTCTTCCCAGGAGTCAATCTCTGAGCAAATTCTTTATTCCTACACAGCACTTTGGAAAATGTCGTCGGGTTACTTCTACTGAAGGTGGCGTCTACAGGCCGTTGAATCGTGGGGTGTACTTAGTTTGTAGCAACAGTGTAAAATTTGTTTTGCCCGTCAGGTCAGACTGAAATCAAGTAGTACCTTGCAAGAACCAGATCATTAAATTAAAGGCCGTCCAGACACCCAGATCCGTGTCCGTCGATGTTCATCTGCGAAACAACCGACCAATCGCAGCGGAGTAGGACACCTTTAACACTGACCCACTTCAGCACTGAAACCTGGAGACTGAAAACATTTGTAGAAAGGGATCATCTGACTGTAGTAGCCAGGTTGATTTATTTGCTTGCATGTACAGACATGCAGCAACAATCCACGGCTGTGTTTTTAATCTTCTGCTTTGATTTCCAACAGCAGCAGGAGAGGTTCGTTAGCTGGGCTGCAATTAGAGCCAAAGCTGCGACTACAGACAGACTTCCTGTTCGAGCTGTAAAATGGCGGCTCCTGAAATGCTTGGTTCTTTGAGCCTGGCTTACTGGAGCTTTTATTTTTGCATCTTGGAGGTTTTAGATTAATGTCTTTTTTATCTTAAAACCCCCAAATATCATCTCCAGGTTTCATGTTCTGCAAAAAAAACATCAGACTAACACTCAACAAAATTGAATTTATCACCTACTGACCATTAAAGATCAAAGCCTCAAAAGATGAGGACGTAACGCATAAAATAAATACCTGGATTTTTATTTGATTTTATTACTTGCCATTTGACTAGTTAGCTAATTTGCTATGTCCAGGACAGACTGTCCCATTCAGTCCCTAAACGTTGGAAGGCAAGAAGCAACATACGGTCCTCCTGGTGGGTTCTGTATCCACATCTCCTTCACATTAGGCATTCCTAATCAAGACACTCAAACTACCGCAAATCAACGCTTCAGACGTGGAACCGCAAGGACTCAACTATGAGATCTCCAGCTCATCTCTAGTGCTGAGTAAGCCAGTTGTCTGGAGGATCTCATTTTTCACAGGTAAGCGGTGGAATGTGGACGGACCAGAGCATCAACCGCATCACTGCAGACAACATCCAGATCTGTCCAGCCATCTCCTCTGCAATCCTCCAGTACAAAATTACTATTTTGCACATACACAAATAATAATTAAGCTTGTTCAAGCAATTTAGATTTTTTTCAACTCGTGCTTATCTGGACCTGGGCAATGTTAAGTTTTATAAATCCATATTTTTCTACAGTCCCAAGAAATGCTGTGGAAAATGGATCCCAGAACAAATCACATGCTGCATGTCTGTCTGTGCAAAAGGGGCATTTACAAATATTTATCCAAAAGAGTCTCTATTACATGTTTGAAAAATAGTACAAAATTACTATTTTGTACTATATATATATTGGAGGTTAAAGCAAAACTGAAGTGTTTGCTTTAACCTCCAGACAGGCCTTTGGGTCAACCTTAGACAAGACCTAGGAATTTGGAGGAAAAGACTTAGTGAGGAGGAAACAGGTGCAGAAAACAACCGAACAACTGGGAACTGACAGAAAAAAAAGCACATGCATCAGTCTTCCTTGTTGCACTTCTTTCTTCCACCAAACTTCCCATTAATATGTTTGATACAGGCTGTTCACCCTGTGAACATGCCGTTTCTTCAGCAACGACCTTTTGCGTTTGACCCTCCTTGTGGGGAGTGTCAGTGACTGTCAAGTCAGCGATGTTCCCCTGGAATGTGCATGTCATGGCAAAACATTTCTGAAAAAGCCACTTTTCTATAGTGTTTAGTTTTAATATGACCTGAGATTCTGAATTCACAAAGTAATTTCTGATTGTTTTTTCTTTTTCTTTTTTTCTCATTTCAGCTGCAGCAGTATGAGACCTGCTCACCTTGAGGATCTTGACCACAACCTTCTCATTGTTAGTGATGTTGATAGCCTCAAACACCTCACTGTACTTCCCTCTGCCCAGCTTACGGACCAGCTGGTAGTCCTCCTGGTTGCTGCAGAGACAAACAGAAGAGCAGCATGTGTGACAAAAATAATCTATTTTTGTTTTTTTTTTTAAGTATTGTTTAGGCTCCGTTGTGAAATCAGGTCTTCTGTTGCAAAATCTCGCTCAGATCTCAGGACATTTGGACAACAGACGGGGAGGAAAGGACAAAGATGCGGGGGAATGAAGTGCCAGACAGACTGGAGGACAACCGTGGTGTCATCACACCCTCACGGCTCCGTGTTTAATAATACACCCCCCATCTGCCACAATTTCCCCCTCCTGCAATATCCACACAAGACGAATGCAGCTCAGCTGAAATGTCCTTACTTCCAGTTCGGAACGTGGGCCTCGTAGTCCCAGTACTCCCGGCTCTTCAGGGTGTTGACGTCTGCGTACACACGGGCCTTGCTCCCGGCCACCGGACCCGGCATGGTGGGACCCGTGGCTCGGACGCCGCGGCGCGGGCGTCACGGAGGCCTGCCGCGCGCGGTGTGGATGGTTGGACCGACTCTGGGAGGCTGGTGAGGATTTAAGGAACGGTGGGGCAGCTGCGTGTGGGAGGAAAGTGGAACACGCCAGCCAGCTGGTTTCCAGAAAGGAGAGGAAAAAATAAAAATAGAAAATAAAATAAATAAAAAAAAAAAAGGACCAGAGATGTCCGCGGGGGTCGTCGCAGGCTGAAGCCGACTTGCAGCGCTTCTTGATCGGATTATTAAAGGCAACAGAGCCGATGAAGGTTTATAATAGAAGTAGGAGATGATGGTGCTACACACAGGGATGTGGATCAGGCGGCATCGGGGGTGCTGAGGTAGAGAGGAGGCGGACCCGAAAAAGGCAGAAGAGAAGCAGAGAGAAGGGGGCTTCTGATCGGGATTCCTGCGCCGAGTGATGGACGACGATAGGCGGGATGCCCCCGGAGCTCCAGAGCCAGCTAATCAATCAACGCTCGATGTGACAGATCGGTAGCGGGGTCGACCAGAGGCAGAGAGGGGGCGGTGGAAGCAGCAGCGGAGATCGATGTTGTTAGCTCACAGTAGCGCCGAGATGTCGCACCGTAGGGGAGCGCTCGGCTCCGGGTACGGACATCAGCGGAGCCCGCGTCATGTGCAACGGCTGTGCGGGGCAAGCGGGACCTTGTCTTCCCCTTGCCGCACGCAAACTTCAGGGGCCCGGGTTTCGGGAGTTAGCTCGGCAGCCAACGGACCTCCCCGGTGGTGGAGAACGCAGGAAGGGAGGCGGAGCGCGTGAAGGAGGAGCAGGAGGGAGGGAGATACCCGGGATGTGAAACCGCTGGTATCCGGGGTAAACTGCGCCATGCGTCAAGCGTCAACAGGGCCGCAGCGCCATCTGGCGACAGGAAATGACTACGGTGGTGTAAAGTAAAAAAACAAAAACAAAAACAAAAACGTATTTTGTATGTGTCGCAATGCATGCAAATATATCAAAAACACAATGATATAAATTAGAAAATATAGTTTTGCATTTCTTGATACATGACTTATTTTTATGTTCTTTTTAAAGGTTAAAGAGTCAGGTTTTTATTTCAAGTATTGCAAAAACCCATAAAACCGGATACATTTGTACATGATATATTTAACCGTGATGTATAAATTAATTTAAAAAATCATTATGATGTACCTTATTATTAACAGTTAAGTAATGCATACATTAAATAAATACATATATTTACATCCAGTCTTACCAATATAATAACAGTATGTAATAATTAAATTAATTAATTCAACTCTTGGAACTTAAAATAGATATAGAGCTTTTAGAATGAATGACATTTATTGACAAATAGTGTTATATTAACTAAATCGTAGAAAAATAAACAAGTAAAAATGGTTGTAATTAAGTTATAAAATGATTATGATTAAGATTAACGACATATACTGATATTTGAGAGCAACATGACAAAATTAGTTGTTTAATTAGGAAATGTTTTTTAAACTCTGAATTCCCTTGAATTAGTAATGACTATGAATACAAATCCAAAAACTGAAACCTCCAGGAAAGTTACAACTTCTATAGCCACCTAAATTAATCTTCTTCAGATAACATCACCGCTCAGAATTATAAATGAAAAAAAGTTTTATTTGTTAGTGCTCTGTGTAAATGGATGCTACAAACATACAGATGATCTCAGAATGAACTGTACTAAGCCACAAAGGTTTTTCTTTTCCAAGTTTTCTCTTCAACGTCGTTCACATAAACCACAGAACAATTCAAAAATAAAAACGCTATAAAACAGGAAGGGAAAGTGCTGTGAAGAGAGGAAGAACAACAACAAAAAAAGCAAACACAAAGCCTGACGGCAAGCATGCAGAGAGGAGGAAAACATCAGGGTTTGACTGGATTAGGGGTTTAGTGGTACTAAAGTGGGCATGACTGGGTTGACTGGTGATGGTATTTTTTTTTCTTTCCCAGTAAAACCAGCAATAACTGAGGTTGGTATTATGCCTACAAAGAAGATTCCCACCCCCCTTCGATAACTATGGAGTAGATTTCCTTTTCTACCAAGAACATATGAAGGATAAAAAAAATTTCTGACAATTTGCAAGAATCCTCTAATACTCCAAAACAAATTAATAGACAGTGGCAACTGGAGTTCTTTGGCTTTGAACGGACGAATTATGTTTCTGGATATAAAAAGCTTTCAAATGCACACTTTTAAATTTTAAACCAACCCCAAGACCCTGGTGTTCCACTCCCACAAAACACATATTATACCAATTTAATAAAAGATCTAGATACCAAATAAACTAGCACAAACCATAAAAACACAGTCAAACTTGTCCTCAAAATCTGCAAAAATGATAAAGTAACAAAAGAAGGATTTATGGTGAGCTTCTTTTTACACTGAATGATTAAGAGACGAGGCATAAAGCAAATATATTAAGGCTGAATTGAAATGGACTCAACAATTCCTCATTTTGTAGAAAAGTCTTCAAAACACGTATTTAATACTGCACTCAAACCGCATAGGAGAGGAAAGGTGGACACATAAAGAAGAAAACGAAGGCAGTCACAGTCGACACGTAAACAAAGTGGCTTCTTGAGAGACACAACAATCTCGTGGCAATTTCAGATGATGATGATTCAGGTACAAACCCGCCCTGACAGACACAACTTAACAGGAAACAACAGAATAAACTCCAGAGTCTTTTAGCACAGAGGTGCAGAACAGTCCTAGAGGAGCAGCTCGGCCTGGACAAACTTTAACAAAAAAACAAAGGCGGAGAGACGGTCAAATCAGTTCTTATCGCTCTGAAATCCCCCGTTTAAAATGCAGTTTTTACATTCACACAATCAGACTCTCACAAAGGTTTCTCTTCTAGAGTCCCAGTAACACACTGGCACCATAAAACTACACAGACCAGAAAAACATCGATCACAAAAAAAAAGAAGAAAAAAAAAAGGAGAGAATTTGTCAAAACATTTCACATAGTAAAAAATCTTCAGAAAAACAACTTCAGATATTTCAGATCATTTTGGCTCATATGTACACACAGAGAGAGTATGATGAGAACAATGAATCGAAATATGTTAACAATTCTATATATGTCTAAACTGGCAGGTTTCATTAGATTGAATCATTTGGACTTTAACTGGTGGTTAAATTCGGTTCTGTAGAAAGTCTGAACCCTACATGGCACAGCATTATATACTAGTAATACTAGCAGCACCTGAAATAAAACATGGGGAGCACATGCCCTCTGCTATACGAATGTGACAATAGGTTCACAATGGTACTATAGAGATAAACAAAGTTAGATGTGAAGCTCCAGTCACAATAAAAAGAACGTACACTCTCTGATTTCACATGTCAGGATGTAGCCCAGTTCTAAAGTGATTCAGATCTGAATTCTGCCATACAAAACAGATTCCACACAGTCATTATTTATAAAAGATGAAGCGAAAATGGAAAAGTAAGGAAATAAGTTAACACGATGCCAAAATGCAAGCTGCCCATAAACTTCTTATTACAGCATCATTTGTAGTCCACCGTTCTTCAGTGAAACAGACTATGTAAAAGAAAGAAACAGCAGTTTCCATAAGATAGTGTTCAAACAGTATTTACCTCAGCATCGGGTTGTGCAGTGCTGAGCTGCATCTCAGACTCTACAAGCCTCATTTAGCAAATTAAAGTTCCTGGCAGCATATTTAGCAAAGACTGAAGTGTGATTTTTTTTTTTTTTTTTTAAAGGGTTGAAGAATAGTTTTTCTCTCCGTAAAAGTAATTGTGGGATAACGAGATTTACAATGTTGCATTTGAATGAGCTACAAGACCTTTGGAACAATGGAGAGTAATTTGCACAGACAAGACTAACGTAGAGAGGCTGAGCTATAATTCACGGTACTGTGTTTGCAGAAATCCAAGGATAGTGTGTCAGCGTTAAGTACAACAACAGTTCGAGCGACTGATATAGTGACACAAAAAAAGCTTTGACGTTATTACTGCCAAGAGCGATTGCACCGTGATGTGCACTTAGTTTTTCTACTTTATCTTTGTTTAATTAACGACAACAGCTCAGTCGTGTGTCAGCCTGTAAAAAGTGTGGAACCTCATAAAGACCGGCTCACCATCATTATGTCTTGATATGTCAAACTCTAGACAGGAGGGTGTACTCTCTTTTCATCATAACTGGTCATTCTCATCTAAAAGTATTAAACATGAGAGAAGAGTGGGAAGAAAAACAAAGCAAAAAAAAAAAGGAAATGAAATCGAAAAACAGTAAATGATTTAAGAGGATCGAATGGATCCACTCGTATTACTAAAACGGATGTTTTAGTAGCAAACAGCAAGTACGTTTGAAGATTTGCAGTGGTAGCATTTTTGCTGTAGATGCTCCATGTTGTTTTGAAGCGCCAACGCTTTGAGGTCCCCTCAGATTCACGCGAGCAAAATGGGAAAACAGTTTAAAATTGAATGTCTATTCAACATAGCTGGGGGTTAATAAGTAAAATCAAATATTTTAAGAGTAATCATGAACCAGAAGAGGCCTGACGGCGGCGCTAGTGGTCGAGTACATCTCTGTTTTAACCTCCATAATGCTATGACTGAGCATGGGTTGGACAAATAAAATACCAAGGTAAAGAAGAAAAGAGAAGAGTCCAGTTGAACAGTCTTCTTTTAACTCAAGAAGATTCCTAAAAGAATGAATTAAACTGGAAATGTTTTCTGATAGAAAATGCCAGGCCGTACTTCATGAAAATAAAGGAGACGTTACACATTTTTCTGCAGTGCGTCTAAATAAATAGGAGAGTTTTTAAATTGCCCAAGACATGACTTGTTGGTTTTAAATCACCTTTAACTTTTTAAATAACAAGTCTTTGAAATTAAGTTTCATTTAGCCTTGTATTTTAGCTTACTTACATGATTTATATGTGATAAATAATCTATGATTCAATGGAATACAAAAGACTTATTTTAATTACAGATCCACCAATCAAGCTTTTCTGGCCTGATACTGATATTTGGGCTTTAACTATTGATTCCAGTTTTCCTCTCAAACCACTATATCACATGAAAGAGAAAATAAAATATGTTAACAGTTGTTTGATAGTTTTGAATCAGACAGAAAAGGAAGAGATTCCAAGACCATGCCAGTTTTTGCATCTAATATTGCATACAAGTAGTCCTTTGCGATTGTGATGTTCCACAGATTGATTTTGTAAGTGAGAGTGGGATTTCATATACAGTATTGTCCATCTCTAAATTAGTATTGAATGATGAGACCATGGGCTGATCCTAATCACTGTTTGACTAATTGATGCATCTCTAGTTTAAGTGCAATTTTTGTCCAATGTTCTTTATATCTTTTGTTTTCAAATGTTAGAGAAATAACTAAAAAAAAAGACATTTGGAGAGTTTTTATCTTGACTGTTCAACTAGACCCAGAGTTTCTAATTTACTGTGATCTAAGAAATCTGAAAACGGTATGCAGCCCAGGACTGCCCCGAACGAGAGAGATGTTTGGATTCATAAACAGCCTCTGGGTGGAGTGTTGATGGTTCTGTCCATTCAGGGAATTTTTTTTTAAAAAGTCATGGCTCACATACACTGTGGCACATTGTAACCGTCTCCGTCGGACGTGTGCTGCACAGTGTGATCCTGCAAAGAGCCCAAGTCACTGAAGCGCTCTCCACACCATACACACTTGAATTGGCCCTCCCGGGAGTGCGTGCTCTGGTGTTTGATCAAGTGCTCGCGCTGTTTGAAACCCTTGCTGCAGTGGTCGCATTTGAAGGGTTTCTCTCCCGTGTGCACACGCCGGTGGCGGTTCAGGTCCGACGAGTACTTGAAGCGCTTCTCGCAGTCAGAGCACTTCAGGGGCTTCTCCCTGGATGGGTCGCAGCGATGCTGGACGAACTCCGAGGAGGACAGGAAGCGCCGGTCGCAGAGCGAGCACTTCAGCGGCTTCTCCTGGCAGTGGGAGTTCTGGTGGCGCTGCAAGGTGGAGCTCTTTTTGTATCCCTTCCCGCAGACGTCGCATTTGTACGGCTTGTCCGGCGAGGAGTTGGATGACTCCCCACACTTATGTCTGAGTAGCTCTCCTGACTGGCTGAATTCCTTCTGGCAGGAGGCGCACTTGAACAGGTTGTCCATGCCGTGAACATGCTGGTGATAGAGAAGGTGCGAGGGTTGCATGAAGCCTTTGTCACACAAACTGCATCTGAAAGGTCGGTCCGAGGGGTCTTTGTGCATCCGTCTGTGGCGCACGAGCGCGTAATGCTGTTTGAAGCTCATCTGGCACTCGTCGCAGTGAAAGGGCCGCTCCTCGGAGTGCGTGCGCTCGTGCTGCCGCAGGTCCGACGGCCGTTTAAACCCTTTTCCGCATGTGGCGCAACGAAACGGTCGGGAACCCTGCGGGTGGCAGGGGTGATGAAGCAGTTCCGACGACTCTTTGAAGTGCAGCTCACACAAGTTGCACTTGAACAAGTGCTCGCCCGAGTGAACGTACATGTGGCGGACGAGGTGCGAGCGGTGCTTGAAGCTCTTTTCGCACACAGCACACTTGAACGGTCTCTCGTTGCTGTGCGTCCGCTGATGGTGCTGCAGGTGCGAGGACTGGCTGAAAGCCTTGTCGCACGTGTCGCATTTGAAGGGTTTCTCCCCTGTGTGCACCCTCTCGTGTCGCGTGAGTTCTGAGAGGTGCTTGAAGCCCTTCTGGCAGACGGAGCACTTGTACGGACGGTCCCGAGCCGAGGGGAAAGGCAAGATGGACGAACTGCTGCCCGCTGACGCCCCGTCGCTGCTGGACGGCTGGGAGCTGCTCGAGGACGTTGGTGTCGTGTTCCCTGAGGAGCCCGGCCGATACGTCTTCTCGCATATGGAACACTTCATGGGGTTGCTGCTATTGTGCGACGTGTGGTGCTGAGCCAACGAGGTGAGAAGAGAGAAGCCCATCTTACATACTCCACACACAAACGGCTTCTGCTCCACCTGAACGCACTGGTGTTCCAGTAAGTCTGTGGCCTGATGGAAGATCTTTAGACACTGAGTGCACTGGAATGACCTGTCCTGACTCACCATGCACTGGTGTTCAAGTGGGTTAGCCAGGTGGGAGATGTCATGTCCACACGTCCCACACTTGTGTCCTGACTCTGTTCCCACCTGCAGAGAGCTTTGCTGGGCTTGAGAAGGATGTTGCCCCTGCTGTCCACCTGTATGTTGTTGCGTTCCCGCATGCTGCTGTCCACCTCCATGCTGCTGCTGCAACGATGAGGCGTCCGACTGCAGCACGATCCCATACACCGCACAGCTCAAAGCGTTTTCAGCTCCTGCTGGGATGGCGTGGACAACCGGAGGCGGAGCGACGGCGTGCTGCTGCCAGGCCTCTGTCATGCGGGCTCGCGAGTACGGATTCAGTTTGGCAGATGGAGTGGCCCAGCTAAAGAGGGAAAGAGAGTCATTTTGAGTAATTGACCGCAGGCTTCCGAATGTGTGAAGGGGGAAAAACTCACTCCATCTCTTAGCTCTGCGAAGGAGCCGTGACCGAGGCTTTGAAGGCTTAAACTGGAACTCACTGAAGAAAAGCAGATGTTGGAGAAGATGGGGGGAAACAACTTTCACTTTATCCTTGAGTTACATCTGGAAGAAAACACCAACTGTCAGAAACACCATATGAAGAAACAGAGTACTCATGGTACATTATCAGGAAACTCCACTCTAATGAAAAAGATTGCTCAGTTGTTTTTGAAATCCCTTTTCAGCTTTAGCCTGAAATCTCTAAAACTTTAGCTCAACCTGATCTTTTAGAGGTCTTTAGTAAAGTTGCGATCTTTGCTTTACAGCAGCTGAGGCAGGCTGTGCAGTGCACACTGACTTCTGATGAAACACTACATTATTATTTCTACTGATAGAACTCTAATTGGTAGGCATGTTGTAAGGGTATATACATAGGGGGCACGTCTAATGTGGTCCAGACAACACGGCTGCCTTAAACAGATGGGCGGAAAATGGAGGCAACTGATTATTTAAAAAGCTGCAATATCAATATGATGTTTTAAAAGAATTGCGTACCTTTTCTGTTTACTTTGTTAATAAACAACATATGTATAAATTTTTACATTGATGCACATCAACACTGCTGATTTTGACATAACAGAAGAACATCAAAACAATCTAATCTTTAGTTTTCAAACTAATCTATAATCTTTATGCTACCTCTCTATAAGCAGACTTGATATAATGAACTTGTAGGGACTATTAGTGCTACCAAATATTGTAGCATTGGTTGTTTAGTTAAAAGAAAATATTCTAGTATGCGATTGTTTTCTTTACTCAAATGTAACGTTAGACACATAAATTCATCAATTAAATTTCGTACCTTTTCCATAAAAGGCATTAAACCTGTCTGGCTCTGTAGTAGACCTGAATATGCAACAATTTTTGGGATATTCTGAACATAAATACCCCTCACAGAAATTAATTGTTCTGTGATGGGTATTTAATTAAGATTTTTTTAAATCCATTATTCCAGAAAATTGTGAAACACAGCTGAATGCTTTGGCACCACAGTAACATTTTTATTGGTACTCTGTGGTGTTTTCACTTCTAGGCTACTAATACTGTTACAATTCTTTATTTTTGGTTGTACTAGACAAATAGGGGACAGTAATCTCTGAGCATCTATCCCCCCACATTTCCTTTCACTCTTGATCAGTCATTATTGTTCCCGTCTTGGGTTTCTTCTTTCTCTTGACAGCTATGATTTGGCAAAACCATCTGCATCAGTCTCACATCCTGTCCAAAAACACCTCCAGTCAAGGCAGATGATATCACCTGCTCAGCCTTCTTCTGATGCAAGTTTCTTGTAATTAAAAGACAGTTGTCTCTTTCCACCATTTCCCCATGCCTGTTCTTGAATGGCCTGAATCTGATTGTTTCTAAACAGCATTTTTACTGGACTGATTTGAACTAAAAACGCGATTGAGTCTTATGTTTAGTAATTAAATACATTGAGAAGACCAATGGTGTGACATGGTGTTAATAAACAATATGAAATGCATTAAATTTAATAATCCATCCATCCACTTTCTAACACCCTTGTCCCCAATGGGGTCTGGAGGGGTACTAAATCTCATAATAATAAATTAAATTTCCACCAGTTCTGTAATTTCCTGCACGGGATGTGTTATTAAATTCAATACAAATTGGTGCAAAAAAAAAAAAAAGATTTGTACCACAAACGCAAGTGTTTTGTGGGATGCGCCTGATTTATTAGGAGCAAAAACAGTAAACAAATGAATTCAATGCAGCTGGAATGGAATGATTTTACAGGGGTGAATGTTTTCTTTGAAAATCAACTCGTCCATGTGTGTTTACTATGCGTCGAACAAATCCAAATGTTCGACGATTCGCAATAAAAAAATTTTTTTTAAATGAACGGAGTCTGCGCATCGAAACGTTTTTTTTTTTTAAGTCTCCAGGCAAAGATCGGGGTAACCAGGGAGAGATAGCCTGCTAGCCTAGCCACCTGCTAACAGAGCCACAGAGGAAGCATTAGCGAGGTGTTGTGCTGGAAAACGCTTCCCGGCTATAAAAGGCTCTCTCGCAGATTGGAGCGTCACGTTTAAGTACTGTAGATTCAAATTCCTTGCCTAGTGCTGTGTAGGCAGAGACAAACGCTAAATTATCACTCAAACTATTGTTTCAAGCGCTGCTCCTTTCATCTGTGTGCTTGTACGATGTAGCTTCTCGTTTTGGCACGAGAGCTAGTTCGTGCACAACACCGGGTTAGCCCCGGGAACACAACGACCGCCAAGCGACAGCAACGGTGACACGTTCCCAACGGCGGGGAAATAAAACACATTTACTTACCTGGAGCTTTCTGCCAATCCTAAGGGAAACTCGTGGTTCAATATGACGAAGGTTAGCTGCTCCCCCAACAACAAATTCACAACAAATTAACATCCGCAGACGGAGCTCTGACGCTCGCCTTGTTGAAGCGCTGGGGCTCCCGGAGCCGGGGGCCGAAAATGTAGCGTCATTAAACTGTCCCGTGTCAACCCTTAACTGCTCCGTTTCGAATCATTTGTCGGGCTCATGATGCATCCTCTCGACTGGCGAGAAGATGGTGATTTTGCTATTAATTGGAGGCTAGCTGAGGGCTAGCTGCGGAGCCCCTGGCCGCGCACGGGAACATGAACACACAAGAGTTAATTGGCATGAACACACACAGACAGACACACAGTGGGCATGGTGTGTGTGATGGCTTTCAATTCAGCTCGGTTCACGTTTATTGTCGTATGTACCCGAGTCAATGTCCCACTGGCGTGGTGTGCATCTTCCTGTAAATCGACAATTAATATGATAAATTAATTAACAATCAAAAACCAATTTGGTGCAATTAGCCAATAAGCATATTTTTAAAATTGAAGCGAAAAACAATGCTATACAATAGCATTGTTTTTCATAGTCTCATAGTTTGAGACTATGAAAACATAGAATAGAATAGAATAGAAATGTCTTTTATTGTACCACAGTGCAATAAAGGTAGGTGAAAGGTAAATATAATAAATGTTGAAACGAAGGTGAAAAGTAAAAAAAAAAAAAGACATCAAATAATCATCACACCTGTCTGAATGATTACCATCCTCTTCCTCACTAAGCAATCAATCTCAGCCAATGTGGACACATATCAATAATGAAGATGATACAACAACAGTGTGTTCTGAAGTTTACTTGTATGAGGACGTTGTTCTTGTGATCCCCAGATAACTAATGAGAAATCTCCAACAGGATTACCTGATCCATTGCTACCTGAATCCAGAAATGGGTTATAAACATTAAACATCTGGTCTATGCCAGGTCTATGTCTGCTCTCAAGTCACATGGATGTAATCTCAATTTATTTTTTTAAATATTCATTATTTATGTTCATATAATGCCAGTGGTCTATTTAAATACTGTTGAGGATTCTGATAAATGGTTTATTGGCAGATTTGAGGAGAATTATATTTTACAAACTGAATCTAATCTACTTTATAATCCATAAAGCAGCAACTGTCCGCATTACTTCACCTTTAAAAAGTTTTCAAATCAAATTAAAATTCAAAAAATACTTCATTGGTCCTAAAGGGGAATTAATAACATAAAATTTAGTGTATTATGTTGTAATTTAGCAAATAGAATTATTTAATGTCTTGCTCTTATTTTATGCCACCAGAAATATGAAAGTGAAAATGAACCACTAACATTAAATCTGATTACACATATGAACTGAAGTTCTCATGTTGTCGTTGTGTAAAGTCTCAAGAAAAAAAATCTATGTTAAATAATGTCAGGGTTCAAAACAGGGTTTGAACCTGGAAATTGATGCCAAATTTAAAAAAAAAAATCTTCCAATCTGTCATCTTTCATCCACTTGTCCTTCTTCTCGGGTTAAACTGGGAACAAATTTATCTCCCAGTTTGAGATCATCTTTAATATTCACATTTTAAAATATATTTTAGAGTTGTTAAGTAACCCAAGAAACTCACTAATTAGTTGAGCTGAAGCAGAACGCTTTAGAGGCGGACTCTTTGTTTCGGTCGGACACGAATTAAGGTAACAAGCAGTTGTTTACATCGGAAATAGCGGAGGCTGTTCGGTAACTTGATCGATTTTGTGGCTTTGAAACTTCGACTGGAACCAGCATCTGGTCTATATCAGGTATCTAACTTATGCCCTGATGGTTCGGGATGTTGGTTGGTTACAGCAGCAGCTCTGAGGAGGACGGTGAACCCGGAAGTGAAGCGAGGAGTCGAAAGAGCCGAAGATCAACGGAGGAAGATGAGAGACACATTCCAGCCAAGAAGAAAGCCAGAATTGAGGCGCTGGATCCGAAAACGAGGTCTGTGCATTGTGCAAAGTTCTGTCTGTCTGTCTGAATTATTACTTTTAAATGCAAATGAAAGCAATCTGTGTAGTAGCTGGACAAAATTAAATATTTGAAATCTTAGAAATTCTATAGATTTGACAGCTACAAAAGCTATAACCACTCTTTGGTGGGACATCCACAGTTTCAAGAGCAAATACTTGCTGAATGGGAATAAAATCTTAATTTGCAAATTCTTCAGTCTGATTATTTCAGGGGAAATTAAACATGCATATGTTTTATTTTTGCATGCACATGTGCACATCCTGCAGACTCCCTCTGCCCGGTTGCCTCCTGAGCATGTTCCCTGAGGACGAGGATGAAGCACCGACTGAGGACAGCTCCCTTCATGGTGGACGCATCCGCTCCTTCAAGCACGAGAGAGGAAATTGGGCCACTTATGTTTATCTGCCTTGTAAGAAACAAACAGAACAGTGTGTTTCTTGTACACCCTTCTCTAATCCTAGTTCTTAACGACGTGGCTCATTTTTTTGTGTGTCAGACCCGCCTGAGGAGGAATTTGAGGAGCTTTTAGAGGAGCTTCTGTCAGCCTTGGGGGCTCATGGTCTGATACTGACGCAGCAGGAGGAGTTCCACCTGAGTCTGTCTCAGACGGTGGTGCTCAGGCACCACTGGATCCAGCCATTTACACAAAGCCTCCAGTCGGGCCTTTCTCAATGCAGAAGGTTTGTTGATTGCTCCTTGATTCGCAGGCAAACAAACTGGATTCGAATTTTAGATTTTTAGCTACGCGCCTCAGAAGAAAAATCTAAACTTGTTGGCGAGAAGTCACACAATACCAGAAAAAGTTCAAAGCATATGTGAAAAACGTAACAAAAGATATGCACTTCTGTGTAGAATTTATCTTCCGAGAACTCCCGGAGTTTGTTTTTTTTAACAAATAACTAATACGTTACTATTAGACTGTGTGCAGTGGAACCTGAGCAATGGTAGACATCCCAAAAGTCGGAGTTTCAGATAACTTGTTTAATAAATTAAAATTATTAATTGATAAAAGAAAGAATCTTTTGTGAAATAAGCATTTTTGTGTGTGTGTGAAAGCTTTTATTACTTTCACAATGTGACAATACCAGGTCTCCAAACAATAGTTTTCCTCAACTCTCATAAAAGCTTTTTCCTGTTGGCAGGTTTGCATGTTCAGCAGCAACGCTGAAGGTCTACTGCAACGCTGAGAGGACAAGGTAATGTCTTTAAAGCATTTACCTCAACATTTTCTTTAATTTAACTTGAAATATTAAAATTTAAATCAAAGGTTTGTTAAAAAATGTTACTTAATTTATGAATAGTCAGATAAGCCATGTTGCCACTCTCCCATTCAACAAAGAGTCACTTTTCTTTCCTTTCCTGGAAATTTATGGCATTTAGGTTTGGTAAATCTTCTATTATCCGAGTTCAAGAAAAAAATTGGGACAATGAAACTAAAAGGTGATGATCATCCAAGCAATGCATTAAATCACTACAATATAACTGTATGTCCCATATTTGTGAGCGAGAACCAGGCTGTGAGAAGCAAAAAGTTTTATGAGAGTGCAATGAAATGACCTCAATAAATATCCATATAAATATATACATGTTCATATGAAAGTCAAATATACTGAAGGACATTAAAGCCTGTATTAATTGATATTATGGTACATTGGGTAGTGTATTGCAACAGAACGTATTTGACTGGTCATTCGCTGAATCTATCCTCTCTGTGGCCCATAGTTAAGTTGTGACTTAACAAGTAAATTTTTATTTTCCGAGGATAGATTTTATCCTCAGGCATATTTAATTTGATCTAAGCTTACTGATAGCTTAATAATTACCACTGTTTCCCCTTCCCCATGTCTTTAAACGCTTTAAATACATTAGGACCTTCTTGGGGATTGAAGTGTCCACCGGTCGTGCTCAGTTGTTGGATCTGGTCCAAGTTGTCGACAAAACAATGACAGAGTTTCAATTGGACACTTTTTATAAGGTCAGTTAAATGTCACTTAAACACTTTTTTATTTTGATATTTACTTGGGAAATCGGCAAAAATAGCGGCTTATGTGAAACTGGGTTCGGATGTCTTTTAGGGTGTCACAATAACTGTTTTCATGTTGATTTGTAAATGAAATGAAAATCCAGAAGCAAATGCTGAAACAGACCAAAGAAGGAAATCACAACGTAGAAAAAAAATAAAACTAGATAATTGTTTAGAAACCAGAAATGTCCACCTTTTTAAGTTTCTCACCAGGTTTCTCTCTGCTTTGTCGTAGGAACCATCTTTCCACGTGAGTCTGGCCTGGTGTGTGGGAGACCAGACGGAGAAGATGAAGGGACTCTTACAGGAGCTGCAGGTGCTCAGATGTTGTTAGTTTGTAAAATTTAGCTTTTATTGTGTCACAAGATGATACTTATTGATGCCAGTGTTAATTACACAGAGGGAACAGAGAACATATTTGCATTTTGGATGAAGTTGTTGGACCACTTTTGTCCTTTTTATTGCAGCAGCATAATCTCACACTAAAAACTCTTTAACTTAATCCAATTGTTTGAAAAATAGACTTTTTGTCATTATAATTATTATTTTTTTGATCAAAATAATTTATTGCTAGTACCTAATAATTTCCATCCATCCTTTCGTTTTCTAACACACTTGTCCGTAGTGGGGTCAGGATGGGTGCTTGTCTCCAGCTCAGGTTCCGTTTTCAGTTTTAGTTGTTAAACAACAAAACAAAAACAACATATTTTTTTCCCAATTACATTCTACTTTATGTTGACCTGCACATCAAATGTCAGTGGAGAACACCAACGTTTTTGGATGGTTTGAGGTCAAATGTGGTCTTATTTCATTTTTTCCTCCCTTTCCCTTCCTTGTTACAGATTCTGGTAGATAATCGTGAAGAAGGGCCGTTTCTGTTGAGATTGGACTGTGTCGAAGTTCGCTGCAGGACAGGAAACAAGACTTTTCGTTTCTCACTAAAGCCCTCATGAGTGAGTAGTTTGTCGGCTGGCATCGAGTCTGCGAGAGTCACAGCTGCAAAAAAAAAACAAACAGATGTTACAGACGACAACTTATAACCTGACTGGTAAAACATTGTCATCCAGTCTAGATCAACAGGGCTTTTTTTTGTACCAAAGAAAAACTAAATAAAACTGCCACTTGTTTTGTACATATTTTTGTTGGTGACTTGTTCTTCACAAAACCAATTTTCATTGTGTGGACCGGAAGCTGTTATGTGAAGACAGCGTCTCTGAGAGGAAGCTGGGCTTTTACCGAGCTCCGAAACCTCAGTGAGTGACCGGGTGATATTTACAAGATAAATAGGGTAATTTGCTTAGAAGACTTATGAGAATGAGGAAGCATTTTTTTTCTGTTTCATTGCTCCATTAAAACTTGCAAATGCAAAATGTAAGGGGTGTAAATTCAGAAGAGAAAAAACATGTAAATCCTGAAAGTTGTGCAGCAATTTAAATTTCACACAATTAATACCTATTTCCTGACATATGACATGGCATTACGCAGCTCTATGCAGTACCAAAATACACACATATAAATACACAAAGAAGAATAAAGATTGACAAATACTGAATAAGAGAAATGTGTTTTATGATGCTCTACAAATAAAACTGAGTCATGAGTGGTTCACTTGAAATATTTTACTCTACAGAAGGCAGCTCGTTTTTGATACACATTTATAATCACTTACAGCAGAAGTGAAACTTCATAGTAATAGTTTGGTCAGTGAGGGCTTCATGGCACAGTACAATCACGTAGGTCCAGAGTTTTCTCTCCACATCTGCACAGCAGGATTTGGGTTTCTCTAAAAGCTTTGAACATTTAACAACTTAAACAATGAGGAAAAGTGTAAAACATCGAGGAGATCCATGTCAGTCAGGAAGAGTCTCTTCCTTCCAGCTTCCTGCAATTACAGCCCTTTAAGGCACCTGATTGAAACCAAGCCCAAACAAAAAGATTCAAACAGGAAAAAGAACCAAGTAGATTAGCCCCTCCTCTTTTTGGGTGATCTTTTCCCTGCATTAGTCAACTTTCAGAATATTTTCTTACACACCAAGATGTAGATCATAAAATCATTCTTTAAAAAAGTCTCACTGCAAAAACACAAAGTCTTACCAATTATTTTGATCTAGTTGCTCATGTGTCTTAATACACTTGAATTAAGACAAAGGTAACTTACAAGTAACTTTTCAGCAAGTGCTCATTTGAAGTAAAAAAAAAAGTGCTAGTCCCATTGGCAGATAGTCACTTATAACATGAGAAAAATGTCTTATTGTAAGTGAAATAACCTGTCAGTAGAACAGTACTTTTTTATTAATATTATTTACTTGAAATAAGCTTCTGTATCTTGATGAAAAGTTACTTATCAGTTAGTTTTGTCTTATTTCAAGTGTATCAAGATATTTTGCACTAGAAACTAGACCAAAAACACTTGGTGAGATCTTTTGTTTTTGCAGTGCACAACAGTTTAACAGAGGGCAAAACATAATCAACAGGTTTCACAAGTTAAATGAAAATAAGACACAAAAATGCAAAATCATAACAAAAAAAAAATAACAGGGTGATTATAATCTGTGCTTCAAATTTTCTGTTACAAAGAGCTTCAGAAATCTCTCACAGCATTAATAAACCATCCCCAATTTTTGACACACATTATTTTATTCTGTAACAAGTTGTTGAATAAAATCTAAACTTTCGATAGAAAAGTATTAAGTCTTAACAACAACAAAAACATTTCTACATCTGTGGATTTCAGGGTTCCTCCTGTAAAATCGAACACTTTGAGTTGAGACATTTGTTGGCATGAACGTCAGGCTTTTGGCAGCATCACAGGGAGAAAAGCACACGCTTGATGTACTCCACGGTGGTGAAGTTCGTCAGCATGTTTACGTGCTCGTTGCCCCGCAACTCTTTGAGCGTGACGGGCTGCTTCTGCTGCCCCGCCCACCGCTTGCACTGCACGGCGCTCCGCAGGTTGACCGTCCCGTCCCCGTCGCCGTAAGTCACGTTGGGCTCCACGTTTGGGAACTCGTCAGAATACTGGAAGGCCTCGGGCGTGGGGACGCCGATGCCGTACAGACAGTGGACGGCGACGCCGGGGGCGGTCAGGTCAGACACCAGCGGCTCCGTGTCCTTACGCATCAGCCAGCCTTCTGCGAAACCGATGTCCGAGAAGAATCTCTCGTAGTCCTGCACCGTGTAGTTGTTGGTGGGAGTTTGGACAAGAACCTGGATGTGGAACAAAAAAAAAAAAAGTGTTTAAATAAGACAGCAGAATGGGATTAATCCAAGAACTTTGACCAGTTCTGATCCCTTTTATGTTGGTAACATTTCTTTCAGAAGGACATAATTTTGGCCAATGTGGTAATAAGCAGGTGAAAAGTCAACAGAGGAAAACCTGAACAAAAGATGGAGGAGAGGAGACCAAATGCTGGCAATTAAAATAATATTCAGAGTAACTGATTACAGACCTGATCTTTGGGCCAGGTGTGGGCATACGGAAGGAGCCAGGTGGTGGAGACGGCGGTCCGTTGCTGTGAGCGAATATTCAGTGGGTTGATCACAGCGATGTGGTTATTGTCGCCTAAATTTTGGGGAACAAAGAAAACGAGGTACAGAGAACTGAAAGTCAGGTTATTATCATCATTTCTGAACCAGAGTTTCACTGTCTGGCTTCCTGAGAAGCGCAAGATGTTTCTTCTTGAACTTATTTTACAGTTTCACGCAGCCTTTGACGGATAGAACCACAACAAAGTTTCTCTGAAATAGAAGAGAAATCCCATCTCCCATTCCACAGACCTGTTTACATTTTGAACAGTAGACAAAAAAAAAAAAAAGAATAACTATATACACTCTCCGTTCAAAAAATGAGCAATTAAAAAAAACATTAAAAAAAAAAAAACCTTAGCGAGCCTTTTCAGAGCATCGGTATTGTTTATGCTTTAAAGCAACATATCTTGGTTTCTGACGTTAGTTTAGTTTTGAAATACTCTTACCGGATGCGAGCACACGGAGCGTTTTGACCACGCCGGCCCACGGTGGGCCCAGACAGATGAAACCCTGGATGTATTTGTCTTTCCAGGCCTGCGGCTGCTGGTTGAGGAAGAACAGCGTGTACATGTTCCCCATGCTGTGGGCGATGAGCACCACGGGGCGTCCCGCCTTCTCCGCCATCTCCTCGATCATCTTCCTGAGATCCTGGAAATATACTCTGTTTTCATCTAGAAAAAAAAAAAAAACAACAACAAAGCAATAGAAGTGAGGCTCTGTCCACCGGCTGAGTTGTGACATTTTGTTGTTTTCGCGTCGGTGCCTACTCGGAGCTTTCCTCCAGTCGTACGGCGCTCCTCTCACGTCGTCATCTCTGGTGTAGCCCCACTCCACCATCGCCTGCACAATACTGAAGAAATACATGCCTGGAATATACAAACATGAGGTATGTTAGATAAATACACCAGATGGTTGCAGTACACAGTTAAAAATAAATAAATAAAGATTTAGCAATGTTGAGCATAAAGGCAGCTTATTGTGTTCATCAGAGAGAATCTGTGACGGTTGGTTTTTGCAGAGATCATTTAAATCATTTGACTTTGATGGCAAATATCTCAAGTTCTCAACTAGATTTAGGCTTGAACTTGGACTACGTCAGCACGAGCATGACTTAATCTAAACAACTCCACTGTAGCTCTGGTTGTATGTTTACCCAGCCTCTAATCTTTTTTATGGTTTTGGTTTTCACGGTATCTAGCATCCCACAGCATGATGCTACCACAATAAATGTGCATAGTTGCAGAAAATGTGTTGAAGCGCAGTGTTTGTTTTCCGCAAAAGTTCAACATTTTGCAGGAAAAGCAGAAAGGTTTAATTTTATTGTCATCTGATCAGAGCGTCTTCTTCCACACGCTGGCTGCGTCTCTGTCATGGTCTGTTGCAAACTGCAAACAGGACTTCTTGAGGCTTTCTGTCAACGATGGCGATGCAGACAGTTTGTGAGCTTTTCTCTCAGTTTCCCGTTTTCTGAAGCGCTGGCATATGGCCGCTCATCCTGAGGCCAGATCTGATTCCTTTCTGTTAAAATGACTTATTCTACAATCAATGCTTGATCGGAATGAGGGGTTGCACCAAATTGAGGATTTCAAACATTTTTACAGTTTTTTTAATCTACTAATGAGATGATTAATAATTTATGTAGCTATAACGTGTTTGGTACGTGTTTTGGGATGTGGAAATGTCTCAGAGAAGAAGCTGTTTGAGTTTTGTTGAGGTCCAAGGCTCTCAGGCTGGTGCAGCTCAGAGGTCTCTCCCAGGCGTCTTTCACTCACCCACGCTGCCCTTGCTGGGGTCCAGATACTCCATGGAATACGTCTTTCCGAACCCCGGGACTCGAATCTCCACGCCTGGTGGAGCGTCGGAGGTGTGTGTGATATTGTTGTAGATCAGCCTGCAGAAGCATACACACGCAGATTGGGATCAGTTCTGCATCCGTGTGGCCCACCGAGTTTTAGCAGTTCTACTTGAGCAGAAACGGTTCCTGTTTTCAGTCCCAGAGTTCACCACATTATTTATGATGTGGGAATGGAACTTCTCCATCTCTGGTTTGTGTCCACCAAGCAGATGTGAGAGCGAATGTTTGGGTTTTAACCAACAGCTGCAACATTTGATGACCATCCAACTCAAAGGAACAGATTGCAATGTTAGGACTGTTTGCTGTGGAATTAAAAGTATTTTCACGTAACATTTTTAATATTCTTAATATTGTTTTTCTCTCACACGTACATCTGAATCACTTTCAACATGATTAAAATGCATCTCCCTTCCTCAGGAGTAACTTTCACACCAAAGAGCAGCAGTACAAGCTGCTTAGCTGTGGTGCAAATTTGATTTTCCAACCAGCCAATTAGCAGCCAAGCTCAAGATCTTGATGCTATTAAAGAGTTAATGACAGCCAAGGTCCAAAGAAAAACTTTTCAAGTGAAGAACAGAGTGAAAGACCTTAAGACTGTCTGCTTAAAAATAAAAGTCTAAAGTAATAAGTGTTGGTTTGAAGCAGGGATTTTACAATCCGATGGTGGAATCACCTCTTCAACATCCCCTGACTTTGGAAAGGCCTGCTAAGAAACCATTGATTTGATCCAAGTGTGTGTGGAGAAGCTGCTGAGGACTGGAGTTAGAGACTCTTTGCACAGTATTATGTAAAGCCTGAATAAAGAAGCAATAAACTTTTTCTGTCTGAAGAAAACAATTGACCTTTTCACTTTTTACCGCTGGGAAACACTGCAGTCAGCTATGAGAAATGAGGCCTATCATTTTTTTTAAAAACACCGTTCAAACCTTAATTAGGCCCTGAAAGAGTCGCCCACCTGATGTTGTCTATCCAGCAGTCGATGACGTAGGGCATCAGCTGCTCCAGGTTGAGCCACAGAGTGAAGAAGTCTTTCGTCGTCTTGGAGCAGATGTAGTGGACCACGGTGGGTTTATTCAGCTTCGCCTCCAGCTGGTTCCCCAGGTCCCCTGGGACTGCAACAAGCAACATGGAGAGTCACCTCACAAACTGACCAGGGAGTCTGCTCAGAATGTTTTAAACCACAAGAAATGCATCCAACCGCTTAGAGGACCAAGAGAACTTGTCGGGGGTTTTATCTGACAAAACATAAAAATAATAATAAAAAAATAAATAAATCAGGACTTAATAGAGTTTATAAGAAATTTGTGCAAAAATGGTTAAAGTTAAAAACATGTTTGTATTTGAAAACATTATGAAAGCAGCACGCAGCTGCAAACTGAAAATACACACACACATGCTGCGGAGTGGAAATCCCTGCCTGCCTGGTTTTATTGAAAAAGAAACATGAAGAGGAGCAAGAAAGCTGCAGTATCCAGGTTTTGACACAGCAACGCTGTCTTGTTTTCCAAGCAGGACCAACCGCATTCAGCAAGCATTTTAATACCAAGGCTCCAATGGTAAAGAAATCTGTCCGGACATGTTATTCAGTTTGGGTGTCAAACGCGAATGCAGCTCAGGTGATGATGAGCTGAAATCATGAACCGTTTCACTATCTACATACAGTTGCTGATCTCTTCAGTTTATAAAAATTCTCAATACTTCTAATGTTTTCCTTTCACTTAATTTTACCTCATTGTTAAAAAAAAAATAAACAGACTCTAACCTTGACTAATAAGGAATGTTAGCAATTTAACGTGTAATTGTGCCCCCTCTATTCAAACACTAAGAAACAGAAAGAGTGAACTCAAGAAGAGTATTTTTTTTGCCATACATATGATCATCATTCAGCCTTTTGTCATCCTGAAAAGTTTACGCAACACAAAGTCAAACAGTAAAATCCCTGCTTCAGGGCGTCTGATTGTATACATCGATCTTAGTCGAAGGCTGCAGCAGCATTTCTCCACCAGCTGCTGTGCAATCAGAGCAAGCGGCAGGACACTCTGCATAATCTAATCCGTGAAAACAGACACCGCATCGATCCGAGTTGTGAAAACAATTCTTGATTTCACAGAGTTGCCCCGAGTGAAGGGCGCCGATTCTCCGAACAATGGCTTTGGAAGGAATCCGTCCTGAGTTACTCAATTCTGGGAGTTTATCAGGCTGTTATTTCTCTTTTCCACAGGTTTAATCGAACGACACGCTGGTATTCAGAACAGCTCCACAGCCTTATCCAGCTATAGTGCTCAGACAGAGCCTGGTTTGAACAGAGATAAACCTCTCCAAACTCAACTGTCCGACCACAGAAAGAGCCCCAGAGAATTAGACAAATGTTTTAAACTGAATCATAAAGAAGAGTTACTGAGCACTATACGGAGTGGAAAACTCCCAAGAGATGTAATAAGGTAATCAGTAAAGCTGAATGGCTGCTGTGCCCAGGAGTCACATTCTGGCTGAGTGGAGTCATATGACCAGAAGACTTCTGGACTCTGCAGGCCTCACACACGATAAACAGGTCCTGAGTCATTCCTCACGTTTCCAACTTGTTTTCCAGTGGAGGGATAATGTAAAGCAGAGAGACGAGTGAATAAGCTACTGGTAAATAAACTGAAGAAGAGGCAAAATGTCATTTTTGCCATTTTGGTCAAAATGTAATTTCTTTCTGCATTTCCTCAACAACAACTGATTTAGATGGTTTAGCTACTAAAATGGGAAAAACTGTTTAAAATGTTTGAAAGAGAATTAACAATATGGTTTTTGTGAAAGAGCTATGCAGTGTAAAACTTTTGTGCAAAATATGAAAAAATAAACAGCCACATCTAAAGAACCTCGTGTGAAACAAAATATTCCTTCACCCGACCAAGTAGGCTGGGGTGAAGGGATAAAGGACCTCGAAATACAATTAAAGTAATTATTTTTGTGATTTTATAAATTAAGGGAAGATTTTAGTAATCAAAAACTGTCTTCTTTGGGTGCTTTGCAATTAATTTTTGACTGGATAATTATAATAATATATAATAATAACATTAATTTATAATAAGGGAAACAGTTTCACTGTAGTTGACAAAAGAAAAAAGTTTCTGGAGGTGTTTTGGGTTTGATTTTACAGGCGCTTCTACACAGCTATTTACCACCACATTTTAAATCTGTGGTGCATTCAAGTAAAATCGTGAAAAAGGACATCCATATTAAAATTAACTACAAAAGACCCCCACACCCACCCCTAAATATCAAGATTTTATTTAATTGTTTAAATATATATATATAGATTTCAGGTGATTTTACATGTGTACATTGACCTGATAAAATGACATCATCTAACCAAAACTTGTTCTGTATTGGCCACTTTAAAAATGCTCAAATTTGATCAAATCATGTCTGAAAATAATCTAATCACTTATACACCAAAGTATAAAATTACAAATGGCTAATTTTTATTTCCTCTTCTCTTGTGTCATTTTCTAGGTGCAGAACCCACATGACTGGACAGTAATTATAATTTGAAACAATAATTGTTTAGCTGAAGCTTATGGTTAAAATTTAGTTCTGAAGTTTAGTTTTAATTAACTGGAATTTTTGTGTGCGTGTGTGTGGTTTTTTTTTAATCAAATAGTCTGAATTCAAAACCATATATATTCCCAAAATTATCTGCTTTGATATCCAAAAACCATAGAGCATATGTCCCGAAAACAATTTATATCTTAATTTTAGCTCTAACTACAATGTCCAGAAAAGAATGCTTACAGGCATAATGCCCTCTGTTGCTGATGTTGACTTCAATTTACCATCATTTATTTTCAACACAACAAGGCAGAATATTTTATGACAGTAACACAAGATTTGTTTTTATAATAGTTATTTTTGTGATTTTGGTTCACACCTTTTTCAATGTAAATTATTAAGAGACAGTAATCAAAGAATTAACGACCTACACATTTTAACCCAGTATTTTTAAAATGACGTTTAAAGCTTTCTGAGGTGAAATCATTTTTTTTTACAAACAACTCTTCAGCAGGTTTAGCCAATATAAAATGGTTAAACAAACAAACAAATACAAAAAAAAAAGTTTGTTATTTGGGAAATGTTGCAAAAGAGTTTGACATTCGATGACAAGTCTTTGGAGTTAACAAGCGCCCGAAGTTACCGAGTGTACTTGAACACACCATGAGGCTGTAGCCGTAAAACGCCGTGTAAACGCGCAACGCGACGCCGAACTGAGCTCGACCCAACAACACCGGTCACAGTCCCAACTAGCCTCACCAGAGGTAAAACAGAAACGCTCCAATTTATGCTAAAAACCTTAAATCCAGCCCCTCCGTTCTCAACGCGGAAAACTACAGACGTGAACTTTCTTGAATAGTTTCCTCGTCGCTCGTACGCCCTGTACGTTTGGTTTTAACTCCCAGGTGACAATTAACACCTGAATATGACGTAAGACACAAAAATATATTCGCCTTACTGAGGACGACGGGGGGTCTCTGGCTCTGACATGACTTGTCCTGGAAGCATTTTTCCGTGGGTTTTCCTCTGCCCGCTTCCAAACACAACAACAACAGCAGCAGCAGCGACAAGCCAACGCGGAGGGCTGTTAACCGGTGCCAGCCCGCCATGGTTCCCGATGTGGCATAGCCGGTGGGTCACCGTCGGCTCCTCTGTGCAGGCAGGCTGTTTCTGCCGCCGGCTGTTTCTGTTGTCCGGTTAAATCCCTTCGATCATCTGATCAAAACCACTTCGGACGCCGATGACGAGTCAACAACTGCGGATCACGAGGTGCAGCAGACTTGAGTAATCGAGCGCAGACGTGATGCGGACGCGATGAGCGATTAATCGATACAAGCCTTTGTTTTTTTTGTTTGTTTGTCAGTGCACAGGATTCCCTGGAATGTGATTTTACGATTTTCCAGAAAGAAAAAGGAGACAGTATGCACATTTTCAGACTTTTTCATTTCTCTTATCTACAACACAAGATCATTTGTAAGGCTTTTTGCAAAACTTATTTTCATTTTAGCTTTTTCTTATTGGCCTACAATCAAATACATTTTGTAAATATTTTTCTCCCAGGATTCTTTTCAATTTTTTATTTTTATTTTTATTTTTTTTTTTACCAAAAATGTTCTTAATTGCGAGGATACATTAAAAACAAAATAAAATTTGGGGGAAAAAACCTTCAAAATAGATTGTACAGGGTCTCAGTTTAGTGATGCCGACTAAGCCACATGAATCAATATTTAAAATGATTATCAGAAATAACGATTTCACTGAGTTTATTTTCTTTTTCTTTTTTTAACACCTCAGGTTTTTATCTTCAGTCATTCATAAAGCCTTTTAAATTTCAACGTGGAAAAGTATGGAGCCTGAACATCCTTTATTTAACTTTACGCCACACTACATTGTAATAGTGCAGTTTTTAAAATAGTTTTAGAACTCCATAGTGGGATATATTAAAGTCATCTCCTATTTGGCATTTCAACAGAAATATCCATTTCTCTGACTTTTTATTTATTTTTTTCTTGTTGGGCAAACATTAATTTAATGTGGCATGTATTAAAAATAAATTTAGTATCAAACAACAAGAACAACAAAACAAAGAAAAAACAGATGACCACGAACAAGTTTGATTTGTTCATGATGGAGGTGACAAAAATTTCACACACACACGTCTGCTAAAAACGTTTTGTGACGTGAAAAAGGAGACTGTGAATAGTATTTTGGAAATTTTTGCATCTTTAATCTGACATTTATCCTTTACAGTTTCCTGAAAAATATATATATTTACAATGACATTGTTTCAATTCTTCTCTGAGCATTGTGGCTTTTCTCAAAAGATGTAAAATTCAATATTAAATTTTTATTCGGGTTAATCAAGTTCTCTTTAGTTGTTGGCAAAATGTGAACTAAAGTGGAAACTGGACGCTGAAAATGATCTGAAATGTGCTTCAACAAAATGTTCATTTAAAGCTGTACACACATCTGTAACAAGGTTAATGCCAGATGTTTCCTGTACATAGAGATGCTTCATTTGGATGTATGGGTTATGTGTCACGTCAAAGACAGAAAAACACATTGAAATAATCATGGTACCATTTTTTTTTTTTAAACAAAAACCCTGCATTTTTACATGGATGTGCACACTTAGATCCACTGTAATTTGATCCAGTATTTAAATGATTGTGTGTCAAAAATCGATACCAGAGGGCATAAGAAGTGGCATCATGAATGCAGCAATAGATTATCTGGCAGTATCCTGATCATCCAACAGTCATTATTAGAGTTTAAAAGGCATCACAATGTGGGTTTTATCAGTCCAGCTGTTTGTATGCTGTCTATAAATCTGGACTATACTGTCGTAGCTTCAGTCTCAGTTTCATACATGTTCAAAACTTGCTTCCACTGTCAAAATCTAAAAACATCACAGACAAACTTAAAAGGGAATTTTGGATATAAAAATTAACCTTTTTTTTCTTTTTTTTTTCTTACAGCATCAATAGTTTAGAGGAACAGACAACATTCAGTGAAGTTATCTGAACTGGACACCGAACTGGCAGATTTATTTCACTTTATCTCTGAAAATATAAACCCAAAAGAAAACATACGTTAGAAAAACAGCTGTTACCTTCAAGTTGGTGGAGCATATACTTAAAAAAATAACACTGATTTGATGCTGATCTAAAAGAGTTGACCATACATATATATATATATATATATATATATATATATATGTGTGTGTGTGTGTGTGTGTGTGTGCGCGCGTGTGCATGTGTGTGTGAATAAACATAGCACAGATAAACCAATACTTTAGTTTAAATGAAAAGGTCAGAGTCAGATCCCTTCAGTCCAGAGCACTTTATAGCTGAACCTAGTGACCAAATATACTTATTTTTACACGTATACACAGGAATCCATTTATATCAAACACAGCACTGCTATATAACATCTGACCGGACGTCGACCTCTTTGGGCACATCGGATTTACCCTCCAGGATTTGCTGGATCTGATTGAGGACTTTCTCATGGAACACCATGTCTAGGTGGGCCAGGCCCCTGTACTCCGTCACGTGGACGGGCTTCTCCTGCTGCCCCACCCAGCGCTTGCACAAGCCCATGCTGAAGCTGTCCACCGTGTCGTCCCCGTCAGCGTAAACAAAGTCCACCGGGTCCCCGTCGGGAAACTCCTCGTTGTAAATATGGGTTACGGGCGTCGGAAGCCCCACGCCGTACATGCACCACACCTCTACACCGGGCGGGTGGAGAGCACTGGTGAGGTTCTTGGTGTCCTCCCACATATGCCTGCAGTCAGTGAAAAAAAAAAGACCTGTTTTATTACTATTGTTTTTGCTGTTTATTATTACATGATTCACACGATTTCGACTTGGAAGCATTTGTAGTCGTTTTCAAATTAGCTTTACAGAAACTGAAGCTGCTAAAAAGCCCTTTGGTGGAGGATATAACCTCCATCACCAGCAGGGGGCACTGAAACGCCACAACTTAAGAAAGTCAAAGCTGAGATGTTCCGTGTCCCTAAAACTAATATGTCAAAACACATTTGAATTTAATTTCAGCTTAGATAAATGCCAAAAGCCATTCACTTAAAATGTGGAAAGTTTTCAGGAACACAACAAAGACGCTTCAAATCTTGTGAGTGAGTTAAATATTTGAATAGTTTACCAACAAACTGAGATCTACATGTTCTAACCAAAACATCCTCCTTTACATGTTTACTGTATAAAGCTGGTGCAGAAAAAAAAAAATCCATATAAAAGTGTCTTAAAAGCATAATTTTGCTGGTTGAAGCTATAAGAAGGGCATAAAAAGTTACCATCCATCCTCAAAGCTGATGTCTGTGAAAAGACGCTTGTAGTCCCGATGGGTGTAGTTAAAGGCTGGAGTGGAGATGAAAACATGATCCTCTGGCCAAACCTCCTCTGACGGCAGCAACCAGGGATTAGTGGTCATCATCCTCTGCTCCTCGCGGATCTTGATGTTGGAAAGCATCGGGATGCCGTCATTTTCACCTGCGGTGAATTTTAGTAGGAAGCAAACAGCAAGAAGGCACAAACTCACCAGAACATCCTGACTTGGTGACAAATTTAAAAAAAAAACACCAAGTTTCTGGCAACTGCTGCAGATTCTGTTCCAGTAAACTTTACCTGAGGTCATAACTCTGAGTGCTTTAACAGCGCCCCCCCACGGAGCTCCAAGGGAAATAAAACCCCTGATGTACTTGTCCTTCCAGGCCTTTGGCTGATGGTTGAGGAAGTAGAGGACGTAGTGGCAGCCCATGCTGTGTCCCAGCAGGTAAACTGGTTTCTGGTTCTGGTTGTACATCTCCTCCACCAACTCCTGCAGCTTCAAAAAATAGGCTGCGTTCTCATCTGTGAAGACACGAGTGGGATCATGATTTCTTTCTGGACCAAATCAGTCATCCAGCTTCATTCAAGAATCACCACCTGATATTCCTCCCTCTGTTGATGCAGAGGCACTGAGATAAATCATTTATTAGCTTTACATGATAGACAACCAAGTTCATTAACCTTGGTTTGACTTTTAGACCTAAGAACACATCACAAAACTGTCAAGCATGGTGGTGGTAGTGTTATACTGTGTGTTAGGTTTGTTTCAATGCTGCTGGTTACAGTTGCAATAAGAAATGAATGAAAAACTTGACCCACATTAGGCGTTTTAACACTTACTTGGTGCTAATCTCCAATCGTACGGCGCTCCACGGACCGTCTCGTTCCGGACATAGCCGACGTTGACCAAATGTTCCACCATAGTATGAAAGTAACCTCGAAAGAACAGAGACATACTCTCGTGACTTGCATACAAACACATGAAAACCAAGCTCAATTTAGTGAGTTGAAGTAGAAAGGCTGTTAATTAACACCCGGTTTAGTCGTCTTACCTGCCAGTTTGTTGTAGTCAAGAAACTCTATGGAGTAGGTTTCCCCAAATCCCGGCACTCTGACCTGCACCCCTGCTGAGTTGGATGAGCGTCGTGTTGTCCTGTTGTAAATAAGTCTGAAGGGAGAAAACAAAAACAACACAAATTTATCAAATAAGTGAAAAATAGCTCATTTTTCAATTCTGGATTCAGAGTAAAACAAAGTCTTCATTTGAATGTAAAAGAGAGAAGGAGACGCCAGCAGAATCACATGTGTTGTTGGACAACATGAATCAGTGTGTGTTACCTGATGTTATCTATCCAGCAGTCCACACCTATCGGCATGAACATGTTGAGGTCGATCCACAGAGGAAACCAGTTTTCAGTTTTCTTGTAGCAGAACCAGTGGACCAACGTTGGTTTGTCTATTTTGGCTTCCAGACGGTTCCCCAAGTTCCCAGGCACTGAACAGAAAACGCCACATAGAGACTTCAAGTCGTTGTATTTAATAAGAAGGAAATGCAGCAAAATGTTCATCTGTGCAACCCGCCACGATAAATCTTCATTATCTAAGCTACACGCTGCATTGATCTGCAATAATCACTGCAATGTCAAATTACGTTATTGCAAAGGCAAAAATACTGCTTGAATGCAACCTTTTGTAATTAAATTTATGTAAACTGTGATTGAGAATTTTTTTTTGTTAAATTTTACAAGCCAACCCCCGCTTGGCTACTTCCAAACCTTTCTAGAAATTAGTTAAAATGATCCTCAGACAACATAATGTCTACAGCTCTAAAACCAAAACATATTATGCTGAAGGAAGTTAAGGGTGGCAATGAAATAATTGTCCTATATAAGACTAGAAAGTTTTATAAAGTAATTTCTAGCATTATCCATTGGATGTAATTGAGAAAACACAGAACATGGGTGAAACTTTCCTGGGAATGACCTTCCAGCAAAATTGTGCCAAGCGTGCATTGACAGCTCAACCAGGAAGTAAAAATTAACTGACTGATGGTGATTCAACAATTAGAAAGAGGCAGGACAGAAGTAGCATCCATAGCATCTATAGGATGGTTCCAAAGACAAAACCACTCCAAACGCAAACTTGAATGTCATCTTAAATTTGCCCAACACCTCTGAATGTCCCAAAAATTAAGGTTTTAGAGTGGCTAAGTCAAAGTTAGTGAAACCTGCATTTTAAGTTTACTCACGTTATCTCTGATACTCAAACACACTTGATGCATCTGAAACATTTAGGTGTGACACAAAAAGCACAAAACAGATCAAATCTGCATGTGCCAAATCTCTATTTAGCAGCATCGTACTTGGGCTGCTGGTTGGACTTCCACTGTCCTTTATTTGTCACACTGGATTTAGGTTTCAGTGGGTTAAGCCTATTTAAAACAACAAAAAGCACGAGGCAATATCAAACATAGGTACGTTTTTCTAACATCTTTCAGGCCACATCATTTTATTTTGCCTATCAATGAGGCAAACATTTGATCATAGATTTGTCTTTAATACGTTGGTGGTATGTCCAACTTGTGTCTTTTGTGAGTCTTTTGTTATTGAGGACCTTGAAGATTCATTTTTGGTATCGTTTCATGTCATCTTATGTGACAACTGAATCTCAACTCTTGAATAACTGGGTCACATGGTGGGTGTATGAGGCTTTATGTCTGAAAAAAGCCTCATAAACGGTTCAAAGAACATTTATCTGATGACGGTTTGATTGCAGGACATTCAGTCTGTTTGAAAGGAAAATACAAAGAAACTAGGAATGACTCATGACATTTTCCCAGTACTGACCATTCAAATTTGTTTTTAACAAAAACCTGCTCTTTGAGCTCTTGAAGGGTAACTGTTATTTACCTTGTGTCTTCTGCTCTATTTGGTCATGCTCCAAATAAGGAAGTCCGTTTCCCAAAGTCAGGTGTTTTAGCATCCTTGTGTTGAATCCTACAGGTGCTAATCAAACTCTGATGCTGAAAACATCTTAATGAAAGAACTGTCTCCGTTGAACAAGTAGATATTATGACTGATCTAAGAATTGAATTACATTTAACTCTAGAAAGAAAAATATGGAAAAACACAGAGGAGGAGAACTCTTTCTTTGGGGGGAATATTTAACTTTTCCACATTTTATCTGGGTCAAAACTTTGAAAAACTAACTTTCACTACAGGTGATGCTGCAAGGCATCAATTTTCATGTCTTGCCACTGATTCTTGATTCAATTTAGGTCTGGACTTTGACTGGACCATTCTAACATGTGGTACTTTGATGAAAACCATTCCTTTGCAGCTCTGGATGTGTGCTTAGACTACTGGTGGAAGGCGAACCTCTGTCTCAAAACCTTTTCTTTTTCCTGAGTTGCACTATATATATTTTCATTAGGATGGAGGCCAAAAAGATGTACATTGGTTTTGTTCTGATCAGAGAACTTTCTTTCACACTTTAAACAAGACTTCTTGAACTTTTCCATAAAGGAGAGATTTGTGGAACTGACCAAAAATAATTATTACTCTTCCACCTGAGCTGTAGATCTCTGCAGCTTCTCCAGTGTTACCATGGAGGCTGATTCCCAGAGTTATACTCTCTTTGGTGATAAATAGTATGTTTTAGCAGTTTTGTGGCCCATTTCGAAATGATGAACCTTTTTGTTGTTGTCGTTTGTGACTTTAAATCTGAACAAAAACACATAAGTTTGGAAATGCAGAGTAGTTCACATATTAGAGTCGGATCAGACGCGCTGATGGGTCACAGATGATTCATCAGGAAGTTTGAAGAGGGAAGAGGTTTTCCTCAAAAACAGATTCAAAAGCGACCTCTCCTCTCACCTATGACGAGCGGCGAAGTGTCGTTGCTCGGCACTCTGGGCTTGGTGCTGGGTGGGAAAACCACGTTGACGATCCAGAAGCCGGCGGAGTGATGAAGCCCCAGCAGAACCACTGCGAGCAGCGCCCAGCGCATGCGACCCGCGGACCCCATCCTCTGTGTAGGGGGGCGGCGGCGGCGGCGGAGGCCCCGCTCAGCGCCTTGCGGAGCGGCTGCAAAAGACGTGCGCAGCAAAATGCGGAGAGAGGTCACTCACACCGAGACGAGCCACGGCTGATGTTTTTCTCTTTTTTTTTTGTTTCGATCATACGCGATGGCGCACGCCTGATTTACACCGAAGATAAGCGTTGGAACTGCTTGTAACTAATGCAGCCTGAGGCAAATGAAACGCGCGCTGGCTCGGTCCAGTCCTGTCCTATCGATCCTTCTCGATCACGCGTGTTTCCTTTAGGCAACAGGACGCCAATGATTAACCAGTACAAACGTTTATTCTTTGAGTAGCGTAAATAAAAGAGGACTTAAAAAAACTACAAATAAAAGAATTCCCCCGTAAAATACTAGTTCTCGACTCTGAGGTGACTTGAAAACAGGACTTCGAGCGAGCTTGAAATATTTGCATGAGGTTCTGAGTGCAGCAGCTTCCCTTCGGCCTCCTGCTGTGGGATGAGTCTGCACGGCCTGGACTTTCCGATGCTGCCTTCACGGTCATGGTAACATCCAGCTTCAGAAGAAATTTCCCAGAAACAAATGGAGAACCAACCGCTGTGTTACTCCCCCCAAATAGGTTCTGATATAAAACCATTTTTATTTTATTTCTGGCACACTGCCTGTAATTGTCCAAACTTCTTGGTTTTTTAAAATTATTTTTTTGTTTGGTAAGCTTCCAAAACTATATATTTCAGCCTGATGTTTCAACTGTGCATAAATTATAGTCAATGACTAGCTGAAGGATGAGGCATCTCTTAAGTGTTTATTGACAACAAAGTCCTGGATGTCCAGTAAATTCTCAGCTGAGAAAAAATAGCGCCACATCCTGTTACCGTCTCCCTACTTTGGCATTCGCAGATTGCACAATCTGAATGCATGGAACAGTGAAGCTTCGCATGTGGGGTTACTACAGGGCATCGACCTGTTGCATATGTTTGTTTAAAGTGGGGCACAAGGTCAGTGTCTCATCAGAGTCTCTTTCTGGAATTTACCTCACACTTCAATAACCTTGGAAAGTGAGAAAAACACGTTGCACATTCGGGTGATGCTGTGGACAGAAACCAGCTGCTGAACGATCCTCTTAACAAGCAGCTTCATAGCCGTTTCACGATGCAGACGGCGTAGAAAACATGCGTTCAGTCAGTTTTCTTGGTGTTTGAAGAGACATTGCAGTAAGAAAAAAAGAAAAGCAAATTCAAATAATGACCCAGACCACAAGTTGAGAAAAATATATTATCTTAAAGAATAAATCAATTAATCAATAAACACTTTCACTGACAAATGTTCTCTAGGGATTATGTAGGGCAGTGTTTCCACAGGGAACATGCAATATAACCAGGTTGCCTTTACTTTACAACTGTTTAGCCATCATCTCCATTTGGGTCTTTTAGCTGACGACCGAATTATATCAAATAAACATACCTGTTTGTATAAATAAAAGGTCTGTTGAAGCAAAAGTGGAACTTAGATATAGACTTCCCATCTAATTCGGCCGAGAAGCAATTTCTGGCAACTCACTGCCTCTGGCGCACATTTACTAAGATAAATTCACACTGTTGTTACAATTTGGTTGATGCTGTTAAAATCATCCTGCTTATTAACATGCTGATCAGCAGGTCACCACGGCAGCTGCTCTCCAGTAAAGTTCAGAAATGACCCGTGGTCCTTTTCCGTCAGCCCGCCGATCACAGACAAGACCGATGCAACGCTCTCCTCGGGACTCAGAGGCGCCTGCAATAAATGAAAGTGAAAAAAAAAAAAAAAAAAAGAGAGACCACGTGTCACCATAACGCTCCTCAAAATGAGTAGACCGACCTTCCACACTCCACAGAAAGCTGCCACAGCCGATGGACTTCAGGCTAGTATATTCTCCAGAGTACTTTTTATGTTATTTCAAATTAGCTCCAAATGTAGAATCTCATTTCGATCATCTGTTTGTCTTCAAGAGCTTTCTGTAAAAAAACCCAGGGCACAAACATCACCCATGTTCTTACCTGAGAGCCTCCCATGTCTGTGCGAACCCAGCCAGGATGTATCGCCATGCAGAGGATCCCATCAGGCTCCAGGTCTATGGCCATACAGCGACTAACCATGTTCAGAGCACTCTGAGGAGACAAGCAGCGCAAAACCCAAAATTCACCAATACAAGGTCAAATATTATCACGTTTTCAAACCAGTATAAATAAAAACAAATCCAAACAGGCCTTTCCTTGTTTTTTTAAAAGTAAATCATGGGACTCTTCTGTAGCAGAAGAATCTCCATCTTAGTATGTTTTCATATACATGCAGTTAATTAGGTCACAAACACGCCGAAGGCTTCTCTTTACAGCCAGCTGGTCAAAGTGCTAAATTTGAGCCAACTAGTCAACAAGTGCTAAGAGAAAAAGAAACTCTCTGTATGTGGAGCCCCAGTCAGTGGTACCATTATGATGAGGCCCAGTGTTTTAATACCTTGGATGTTCTGTAAGGGTACCATTTGAAGGTGTCGGCCCTCTCGCCCCAGTTAAGCTCCACAGAACCCAGCAGAGATGTCATGTTAATAACGGCTGCTCTCTGGATTCCCATTGTTCTTGATGCTCCCGTGCTTGCAGCCCGCTTTAACAAAGGCAGGAATGCCTGACAGAGGACAAAAAAATTAAAACACTGATGTTCACAATCAAAGCCAGACATTTACAACCAAATGTGCAATAAACACAACCAGCTTGATGGCCAGCTGCTACTTTATTTTTAGTTTTCTCTTTTATTTTCAAGAGTCTGCAGCAATGCTACTATCTGAAATGTACAGACTATGATAGTGCTTCCCTCTGGTGGCAGCATAATAATTACAGAACGTTTCCATTAGTTTTGTGATATATCTGTAAACACATCTTAATTGTTCATTCAGTTTTAAAAAGGTACCATCTATGCTGTGCATCTGATTGTAACAGTTACAATCTCGGGACCGTTCAGCTGATTATAGTCAAAGACAAAGAGGTCCAAGCTGGCCTCACTTCCAGAAAGCAAAAGAAATGTCATGTAGAAAGTCTGAGTCCATGTTAACGTTTCTGAAAAATGTTAACATTTTGTGAAAATACTCCTGATATGAGATTGAGCCAATATTAGTTGTTAGATATAAAAACTGCTGCTGAAGCATGGACACATGGATACTTTTAGCAACTTGTTGAAGTATCCATGCTTGCTAAATGAATCCATCCTCAGAATCAAATGCCACTCGTTGGGACATTATGAGTGAGCTCTGCATGATCACGACATGGAAGGCGTTACAAATAAATATCTAAAGAGTGTGTGTGGTTCTGCAGAACTCTGTAGAACCACATTTCAGTGCAAATGTACTGATCTTGGGCGGTTTTGCATCCAAAAGTTGATCCTCTACATGTGCAAAACTGGTAGAATAATACACAGAAGATTCTCTTAATAACTTATGAGGACTCAAAACAAAGTGTTTTGTGTTTTCTTTTGGTATGACATCTACAAATACCCCTTGAAGTATTTCACGCCTGGCTTCAAAAGTGTTGATTATGCGAAACACAAAATATCGCATTTTAAAAGGTTTTTGTCCAACTGTTCGTTTCTGATTAATCATTTATTTTGTAAGTGGGAAAATATTTCCAGTATTTTCCGAGAAAAAACAAAACAAAACACTATCAGATCTTCAAATGCAGACAGAATACTTGCTGTGATAAAGACAAAACATAAGGCTGCAAACATCAAATGTTAAGAGCTTTCTCTGACTTGTTACAAGATAAAGAAGGATAAAGTTTCAAAGCTCTCAGCAAGAGAACTGCACCAGATTTCCACTAGACGTGAGTCACTGTTCCCAGTAATTACTCAGGGACTTTATGCAGGACTGTGGCCTTGCAGTTTAAACAAAAATGTCCTTCAAACTTTGCGTCAGCAAGAATCTGTCCTGCTGGCAGGCCCCTGATTAGTGCTCATATTTTCAGCTGCACAGGGTGCTGCTCTGTCGCCTGTGCCCCGTCCTCTAAGGCTTACCACAACCAAAAGTCCTAATTAATATTTATGACATGCAGACAGCTCGGGGCTCTGGGGTTTTAGTAAAATTTTATTGCCAAGGTCATTTTTGTGTCAGTGTCCTATGCAATCAGAAATGACTCACGCAGTGTCCCGCTTATGACTGGGAAAACAGATGAGTGATCTCCTTTTAAAGCACTTTATTTATTTATTTATTTGCAGTCAGAATTCTAGAGAGCTTTGAATTACCTTCGTTATCATCAGAGGAGCGACAGCGTTGGTGTGGAAGTTTTCCATCATTTTCTCTGCCGTGACAGAATGGAAGTCGGCCGCCACGTTGATCCCTGCGTTGTTTATCAGGCAGTTCAGGCCCTCTTCCTTCAGCAGCTGGCCGACCTCCTCAGCACATTTCTCTATGCTCTCCTGATTCACTACATCTACACGAGAAACACAGCGAATCACCCAAAACAAACCAAAATCCTTGTCATGTGCAAAATCCAATGATTCCAGACTAAAATTTTGATCGGTCGATTGATGAACGGATAGATTAATGGATTAATGTACTGATGTCTTTTCCTTTTTCCTTCCAGCGACTGTTGAATAAAGAAAAACAGATGGTCTAACAGACAGATAAGCTGAAAGTTTTCAGTTTTATTTTATTAACACTTTTGTTTTTTGTTTGTTTTTATTGGTGAATTAGTCTGTTCATTTTCCTTTGCGTCTGGAGAAAGTTCATTTCTCGATAAGTCATTTTCTATCTCATTTCTGTCTTTTCCATTTTTCTTTCAGCTAGTGCTGAATAAAAAGCATAATTGCCTTTTATTGTGCCTTTTAAAAAGTAGTAAAGCAATGTCTTCAAAACCAAAACTGAAAAATTAAATAAATAAATAAATAAAAATATTCACAACTGAAATACTTTGTATGCTTGGATGTTTTCTCCAGACATTTCCCCCCCTCATGTCTCATTTGTAATATTGCGTTTTATATTTTGTGACTCATTTGATTTTGGGTAAATTTTATGATCACAGTTTTGTGCAACATTGGATTTCTGAACATGCTCTGTTTCTCCATGTCATGTTTCTTACATCATTTCTTTCCTCTCAGTCTTACCCAGAGTCACGATGTGGATGTTGGGGTATTTCTGAGCCAGTTCCTGGAGTTGCTGCGAGTCAAAACAAACAAAAAGTCACTTCCGCACGGAATTATTTAGGTGAGAACACAACAGCGACATCTGGCGAACTGTTTGAAAAGCTAACGTCCTTTCTGCATCGTTTCTGTTGTCCTTGAGAACTCGCCGCGGCTCCAAATGATATTGTCGCTTCATAAATGAGAGAACTAAAGCGGGGAATTACGAAAGGCTGTATTTTAAAGAGCCGGAGTACCTGCGCGCCGGTGAGGTTTCTGGTCGTGGCTATGATTTTCCCCGGTGAGAAACCGCCGCTCGCCAAACTTTGGACCAGCTGCAGCCCGAGTCCGCGGTTTGCTCCTGTTACCAGCACAGAGCCGCAGCTTTTAAAATTCACAGCCCCACTCATCGTTGTGTTCACTGCTGTCTGTCAGTGTTAGCTGTCCTTCTGGATATTTCCAGCAACGCTCTTTAATCCGATCCCTGCAGTACCGACACGTGACCCGTAGGGGGCAGGGTGGCTCCACTGAAACTTGTCCAATCAGATGTTTTTCCCAACAGAGAGAGGAGGTTCAGAAAACAATGACTGGAAATACAACTTCGATGGTCGGGCAACATTTTTCCTTAAATCAAAGGCAAGTGTCTTTGAGCTCTAAAGAAGGCAAAATGTACAGATTCTCTGGTTACTTTTGTCTAAATTCTGTTTTTTGGGTCATGTATTTGAAGTTGCTTTTGCATTTTCTGATTTTTTTATTTTTATTTTTAGCCCCGCTTCTCTGGCAGTACAGCTGTACTGTATTGCATTCAGCACAATACACTGAATCGGTAAGGATTCAGTGTGTTGCACACAAGTCCAATCCTCAAGAGCCGCTCATCCTTCGAACTGGATCCTTCGAACTGGATCATGGGCTCTCAAATCAAGGCCTCCAGGGTCAATGTCCTCCAGTTCAAATGCATGAAAGAATCACAGCAACATTTCAGGTATGTTCTTGATCAACGACTAGCATTGCAATACCATACAAAGCTCAAAATAGATAATTTTACAGAGGCAAGTGAAAACATAATTAAATACTTTATGTGAGAAGAAATCAAGGGATTGACAATCTCTGTCACAGTTTGGGATGTCTAAGTGCTCAGTCTACCAAATTTGCTTAACTAATAATCTCCATGCTTAAGAGTAATCAGAGAGGATTTGAAGCCAGATTTTTGCAACAGAATTGCTACTTAATCAATAATTAATAAACAAGTCCACAAATTTCCATCTAGCATATTAGTATGCTAAGAAATAATGTAGGGCACCATGGACTGCAGATTTCCCTGGATCTCTGAGCAGCAACAAGTGACTCTGAGAAGAGTCAAGCCAGTAGACCGGCTTCTTCGTCACCAAGGTTGAATTCTGTCCATAACAGAGGGCAGACTTTCTTTTCACCGTGACCAAATCTAAACTTGATGTAATACATATATCTCTGTTGTGAGAAACTCCCATCTTGACTCTAAACTCAGAAACTCTCAGTATTGACTTTACACCCATGTGACTTTAACAACGAGACAGTTTGGCCTTGTTGAATACTGAGAGAATACCAAAAGCAATGGGAATTTACTGTTTGCTCTTAGTCAGTTTTCAAACATTGAAGTGAAGATGGAGAGCCAGAGTTAAGGGTGACAGCACAGCTGATGGAGCTTAAGCAGTCCTGGCACACAGATGGTTTCTCTGGCAGCCCCCCTAAATCCAGATTTCCTTAAAGCTCCCGGTGCCTGGAAGCAGCAGATATCCCAGGTCTGCTGGAGGCCACTTAATTTGAAATTTGGCTCCCGTGCTTTCATTTGCAGATGTATTAGTTTGGCACCAGGCAAACAGTGCAGATGATGAGCTGGTACAATATGGGTGCAGAGATGTGCTTGTGTTTCTGGAGCGTGTTTAACATCTTGGCTGAGTAGTGTCTATGCTGCAGACACTATGCTGCTGCAGTTTATTTATCTCTTTAAATAAACTTCGGGGGATAGCGGAGGTGTTGCTGCCCTTTTGTCTGTGCTGCCTTGTGAGACATCTGTAACCTTAGCAGAGAGCGTGAGGGAAAGGGAGCTTTCGCCCTAATTTATAAAATACTTTTTGATTCATTGTGCATCAGATGTTACGGACCAGAATTACTATTTCAGATGATTTCAACTCTTCTTAAAACTCTTTAAACATTTTATATTCTTGATTTTTACAGTGTGTGTCAAATTGTTTACATGAAGATGAGTGAAAATTCCTAAAACTTTCACAGATGCTTAATTCACAAAGATCGGGGTTAAAATAGAAATTAAAATAAAATAAAATAAAAACAACTGGATTTAACGTCTTTAGAGATATGTACATTAGTTAAAAATGTGTCCAGGAATGGAGTGTTGCAGATGTGGACATGAAGAGCATTTCAGTGTTGTTGGTGACACTGAAAGCTCTTTTACTAACATTTATCAGTCTGGCGTGACGGACGGAGGGAGAGCAGGCTGATGTCAGAAGACATAAGGTTTCTGGGTGTGATGTAAGGCTGACCGATGTTGGATCAGCAATGGCCAGGCAAGTTTTTGTTATTGTTGTTGCTGTTGGAGATGATTGTAGATTTCAAAAGAAACATGGTCAGGTGTGAAGGTGGTAGAGGATTATAAATAACTTGATGTTCATCTGGAAAACAGACTGGACTGGAGATGCAACAGTGAAGCTCTCTAAAGAAAGGACAGAGGAGACTCTACTTCTAGAGGAAGCTGAGGTCCTTCAATATGCTGCGTATCTTCTCTAAGTGTGTCATCTGGCGTGAAGTTTAGTTAGTAAAGTTTATTTATAGGGCGTTTTTCACAGACATAAAATCGCAAAGCGCTGTACAAAAAAAATCAACACAATAAAATCATCACATAAAAGCCTGCGAAAATAAAATGTCTTCAGCTGCTTTTTATAAACCTCCACAGAGTCAGCAAAACAAAGCGGCAGGGGCAAAATCTTCCACACTCTTGGGGCCACCGACTGAACGGCCCTGTCACCTTTAGCTTTCATCTCCGTATGTGGAACAAACAATTCCACCTTTTTTGCTGTCATCAGTGGGGACAGCAGCATCAGGAGTCAGAGGCCTAAAAAGGCTGAACAACCTGGTAAAAAAGGCTGTTTCCATTCTGGGAATGCCTGGGAAGCTGATTGAGCTGATTAGCAAGGTCTCATTATTACGGAAGCATAGTGGTCTTAGGACGGAGCCTGGAGGCACTTCTTGACTGATGGATGTTTGGTTCAAACCAGGGAAGAGCTGTTGATGATGTTAAACTACTGAAACAGGGATTTTTAAGTTTTTTTGGTGAATGCACTCTTTCTTCATCTTTCATCTATCATCCAAGACTGCCTCTCTTTTGACAACATGTACCGCCTTCCTCTGATGCTCAGTGCTTATTTCCGCAGGTGCCAACAATATAACTGCTATTATAAAACATTTTTACACCAAAATCAATATTTGTTCCATATCTCAAAACAAAGCAAGTTTGAGCATGGACTGTTCAAACTTTCTTTATGTCAAGCTTCCTCAGTGCCACAATTCGACATTTTATCTTAACACGTCAAGCTGTTTACGTTTGTAAATTTCAGGAAACCTGAAATGTCACCGTAAATCAAAAAGAGTCGATAACTTTCAACTCACAGCTCAAGTCTGGCAGCTTGAGAGTCAGACTACACTCAGAGCCTTTTTTTCTGTCAAGTATTCAAGATTTTTGCACTGAACCGATGCAAGAGACAAAGAACAACTTTTGAAATGAATAATAAAAGTATTCATTTGCAAATACTGTAAAAAGAATAATCGCAGGTCAGTCGGAGGTCAAACACTAACCTCCAGAGGAGAGGCGAGGAAGGCAAAAGGACATTCAGTTCAGACTAAGGTTAGTTAAATATGATTATTTGTCAGTGGTTATAGTTAAGTTGTTTGTGAGTTGTCCAGTGTTGTAACTCAAGCATATCGCATACCAGTGCTCAGAAGAGTGGTGGTGAAGGACTTCCAGGTAAACTCTTTGCCGCAGGAGCAGTCCATGGAATTGCCCAGGGACCGTGATGATGACACTCGAGTAGAAACACATCGTGAGTTTCTGCGAAGTGATTATAAGGCACTGGAAAACAGGGTAAAACAAGTAAAGCTGGATTCACACAAACAATGATGACAAGCTGGCAGCTAATGACAGCAGGCGCACGGCTTGGCGAGCATCAAACAGAAAGGTTTGCGTCTTGGTGGATTGAGACTCTGGGGAAGGTCACTTTGGATCCAAGGGTGACTGAGTTTGACGAAGGCTGGCTGTTAGTCTTGATGATGGGAGGAAACCTTCAGTTTGCTGTTTACTTTATTCTCAAGCATTTCCTTAGCAGCTGAAAAACAGTGTTGATTAGAAAATACTTTCCCACCTTTAAAGGATCCTCATTCATGTGTTCTTATTGAGACATTTTATATCAGCACACTGGTGGGAAGTAAGCATGATAAGGCCAAGTCTGGCAAGAGTCATGTGACTAAATGAAACATTATTAGAAACATTGTTGATTACTGTCGGTAGGGGTTTTCAGTTTTCAGTACAGTCACCTTGAGTTGGAGGACTAACTTTCCTCTTGGTTATTGAAAATCATCCTTTTCAGAAAATTGTCACTCCCTGAAGCCCTCTACTTTAGGTTTATTGAGCTTTAAATCAACACTTAGTTTATTACGGCATTGTCTGGTGGTAGCTTCACTACAGTTCTCTGGAGGGTAATTTTCCACTATTAGAGCAAGAGTTGAGAAAGCTTCTGTATACGACTTCCACCTGTTCAGCAACAAGCAGAGGAGCCACAGATTTCCCACAGGGGTTGTTACTAAAAAAAAAAAATCAAGATAAGAACTGTATAATAAAAGCATAAATAGGACAATCTCCAGTTGGCCAAAAAATTCAGCTCTGAAATCAATGAGAAAAAAAACACACAAAAAAAACAGATGATGCTGAAACTGAATTTAAAACTTGTCAAACTTGTCTTTTCACAAAAACAAATAATCATTGGTTTGGGTCAGAATTTCAGGATTTGATCCCAGTTCATAATTTTTTTTTTGAAGGGACATACAGTTTTGGATTAGCTTGTAAAAAAATCCAGACATAATCTTACCATGTAATGATGTCAAAAAGTTTTTAATCTTTAACACAGGGCACATCTGTTGGGCCACTTTCTTCCGATATTGCCAAAGCCTTTTCTCCAGGTTGCTGCAGAACCTGAGGATCTTGCTTTGTGTCTTCGGTAATTTATAATCATCAGAGGATTACTGTTTGTCGTCGAGTGCTTTCTGTTCTTAGGTAATATCTGATCCATAACTGTCCCTTTAAAACGGCCTCCTTGGGTTTCTGTGAGTCATAAAAGATCAACAGAGACAAGACTTAAAACTCGATGAGATGAGTCATTAGCTGGAGGAGACTGTTCTCATATTATTTGGACATCATGCTTACTGACCAAGCTCTCAATCAGG